ACAACTCCCAAACTCAAGATCAATGCCCACCAAACCCTTCCAGTATTTTCTGTTGGTCATGGGAGTCCTGTGTGCCACATTTGGTTCAATTCCATCATTGGTGGAGTTCAGAGTGCTCTTTGATTGTACGTGAACTATAAATCCCAGCCATTACAACTTCCAAATGACAAACTCATATTTTTTGAGTGATGGTCACTCCTTGGGGTAGTTGATTGTCTTGTGTCCAAACTTGGTGTCAATTCGTCCAGTGGTTTTTGAGTTATGTTAATCCCACAAACGAACATTACATTTTTATTTATATAGATTACCCTTACATCTTTATATATTTTTCCAAGATTGACCAGTTTGTCATTTTCATACCTTTGCTAATGTTTTTCTTTAATACAAAAAGTCAATCTGTCCATATCTTTAATCTCTATTACTTTTTCTCACCAGAGTTCCTTCGTTGTTTGTTGTTGTTCATTCGTTCAGTTGTCTCCAACTCTTCGTGACCTCATGGACCAGCCCACGCCAGAGCTCCCTGTCGGCCGTCACCACCCCCAGCTCCTTCAAGGTCAGTCCAGTCACTTCAAGGATGCCATCCATCCATCTTGCCCTTGGTCGGCCCCTCTTCCTTTTCCCTTCCACTTTCCCCAGCATCATTGTCTTCTCTAGGCTTTCCTGTCTCCTCATGATGTGGCCAAAGGACTTCAACTTTGTCTCTAGTATTCCTTCCCTCCAATGAGCAGCCGGGCTTTATTTCCTGGAGGATGGACTGGTTGGATCTTCTCGCAGTCCAAGGCACTCTCAGCACTTTCCTCCAACACCACAGCTCAAAAGCATCTCTCTTCCTTCGCTCAGCCTTCCCTAAGGTCCAGCTCTCACATCCGTAGGTGACTTACAGGGAATACCATGGCTTTGACTAGGCGGCGGATCCTTGTTGCCAGTCTGATGTCTCTACTCTTTACTATTTTATCGAGATTGGACATTGCTCTCCTCCCAAGAAGTAAGCGTCTTCTGATTTCCTGGCCAGTCTGCATCTGCAGTAATCTTTGCACCTAGAAATACAAAGTCTGTCACGGCCTCCACGTTTTCTCTCTCTATTTGTCAGTTATCAATCAGTCTGGTTGCCATAATATTTTGTTTTTATGTTTAGCTGCAACCCGGCTTTTGCGCTTTCTTCTTTCACCTTGATTAGAAGGCTCCTCAGCTCCTCCTCGCTTTCGGCCATCAGAGTGGTGTCATCTGCATATCTGAGGCTGTTAATGTTTCTTCCAGCAATTTTCACCCCAGCTTTGCATTCATCAAGCCCCGCACATCCTCGCATGATGTGTTCTGCATACAAGTTAAAAGGTTGGGTGAGAGTATGCAGCCTTGCCGTACGCCTTTCCCAATCTTGAACCAGTCTGTTGTCTGTCGTCGGTATAATGTTCAATTTCCAAACATGACTCCGAAAAAACTAGGGGTGATGTAGAAGGAGGTAGAGAACAAATGCTGGAAGTGCAGGCTGCATGAAGGGTCATGCTACCCTATGTGGTGGTTGTGTGAAAAAGTTATAAGTTATTGGAAAAGGATTCATAAGGAGTGTCAAACTATTTTAAGAGCAGAATTGCCAATAAAACCGGAATATTACTTACTAGGGATGTACGGGTCCGAGCTATTTGGGGCCAGCAACAAAGAGAAGATCACTGCATACTCGATAACTGCAGCAAGAATAGTCTATACAAACTGCTGACCTTTTGATCAGCAAGTTCCGAAGCTCAGCAGTTTAACCTGCTGCATCACCGGCGGCTCCTTTACGTAGTTAAGGAACAAATAATCTACCCTCCTGTTGTTGTGATCATGTCTTCTTTTTCCTTGTTTATTTTTTGACCTTACTTCCCTAATCTTTCATCTAAGGACCTTCTGGCAATGCAGAAATGCAAAAATGTGGTCACATTTCCCTTGTTGCAGTGATGAGAATGAATGCTTCATGTGGTGCAAGCAGGAGGTTGGGCCCATTGTGAAAGAGATGCTGGGAAACCACAGAGCACTGTGTACATTAATGGCTTTCTTTTGCACATTTTTGTGGGAATTTGTTGTCTGGCCATTGCAGCTTGAAGCTAACTTCAAACCACATTTAAATGGTCGGTGTAGCTGGAGCCTGTTGGAAATAGCAACCTTCTACAAGCCTCCCCTACGAGTTATTTGTTATGTATATAATTGTGATTGCTTACTATATTATATATGTATGTATTGGTATGTAGTTTTCCCTTAACTCTATGTTGTTTGTGGTTGTGGGAGGGACTGCAGACCATGTGACCAGATCTGGGACTTTTCAGACTGAGACTCCATTTTGGAAGTCAGAGTCAGTATTATGATGTGATCAGGTAAGTCAATATAATTGTGTTCAATATAATTGTGATTGCTTACTATATTATATTTGTATGTATTGGTATGCAGCTTTCCCTTAACTCTATGTTGTTTGTGGTTGTGGGAGGGACTGCAGAGCATGTGACCAAATCTGGTACTATTCAGACTTAGACTCCATTTTGGAATTCAGCGTCAGTATTACGATGTGTTCAATTAAGTCAGTATAATTGTGTTCAATCTAATTGTGATTGCTTACTATATTATATGTGTATGTATTGGTATGCAGTTTTCCCATAGCTCTATGTTGTTTGAGGTTGTGGTAGGCACTGCAGACCATGTGACCAGATCTGGGACTATTCAGACTGAGACTCCATTTTGGAAGTCAGTGTCAGTATTATGATGTGTTCAGTTAAGTCAATATAATTGTGTCTAGTATAATTGTGATTGCTTACATTATTATATGTGTATGTATTGGTATGCAGTTTTCCCTTAACTCTATGTTGTTTGAGGTTGTGGAAGTCAGTGTCAGTATTATGATGTGTTCAATTAATCAATATAATTGTGATTGCTTACTATATTATATGTGTATGTATTGGTATTCAGATTTGCCTTTATGTTGTTTGTGGTTGTGGGAGGGACTGCAGACCATGTGACCAGATCTGGGACTATTCAGACTGAGACTCCATTTTGGAAGTCAGTGTTATGATGTGTTCAATTAAGTCAATATAATTGTGATGGCTTACTATATTATATTTGTATGTATTGGTATGCAGTTTCCCCTTAACTCTATGTTGTGGTTGTGGGAGGGACTGCAGACCATGTGACCAGATCTGGGACTATTCAGACTGAGACTTCATTTTGGAAGTCAGTGTCAGTATTATGATGTGTTCAATTAAGTCAGTATAATTGTGTTCAATATAATTGTGATTGCTTACTATATTATATGTGTATGTATTCGTATGCAGTTTTCCTTTAACTCTGTGTTGTGGTTGTGGCAGACCATGTGATCAGATCTGGGACTATTCAGACTGAGACTCCATTTTGGAAGTCAGTGTCAGTATTATGATGTGTTCAATTAAGTCAGTATAATTGTGTTCAATATAATTGTGATTGCTTACTATGCTATATGTGATGTATTGGTATGCAGTTTTCCCTTAACTCTGTGTTGTTTGTGGTTGTGGAAGGGACTGCAGACCATGTGACCAGATCTGGGACTATTCAGACTCAGACTCCATTTTGGAAGTCAGTGTCAGTATTATGATGTGTTGTGTTCAATTAAGCCTGATATTGTATGGTCAGTGTTCGTTATGCATTAGACATAAGATAGAGAAGAGAATGCAACAAAATAACTTAGAGAACTTTCGAAACTTTGTTAAGGGATGCTCAAGAGTATTCATCATGCTGAAATGGTGCAGAATAATTGTTTCAATTCAGGAAAAGAGATTATACTGTATATGTTTTAGGTTTGAACTTCGAACTGATAAGCAGTGTAGGAGAAAACATATAAATCAAATTGCCCAAAGTGAATCCCGTATATTTGGAGGTCCACCTCTTAGTCTGCACCAATGCCACTCAGAACTGCTTGAGATAATTTATTTATCGTGTCAGGGGCAACCAGACAATTATATTACATTTCTAACAGAACAAAACAAACAAACAGACAAAAACACAAAGTTTGCAAACTTGGTAGTTGATTAAATGTCCTTTGACTAGTATCTGGCCACTTGGAGTGCCTCTGGTGTTGCCGCAAGGAGGTCCTCCCTTGTGCATGTGGCAGGGCTCAGGGTACATTGCAGCAGGTGGTCAGTGGTTTGCTCTTCTCCACACTCACATGTTGTGGATTCCACTTTGTAGCCCCATTTCTTAAGGTTGGCTCTGCATCTCGTGGTGCCAGAGCACAGTCTGTTCAGCACCTTCCAAGTCGCCCAGTCTTCTGTGTGCCCAGGGGGAAGTCTCTCATTTGGTAGCAGCCATTGGTTAAGGTTCTGGGTTTGAGCCTGCCACTTTTGGACTCTCGCTTGCTGAGGTGTTCCAGCGAGTCAATGACTTGAGATGATAATACTTAGCCAGCAATGTTGGTCAGACCACACCTGAAATACTTTGTCCAATTCTGGGCACTGCAGTTTAAGGGAGATGTTGACAAGCTGTGTCCAGAGGAAGGTGACTGAAATGATCAAGGCTTTGGAGAACAACCCCTATGAGGAGCGGCTTGAAGAGCTGGTCATGTTTAGCCTGAAGAAGAGAAGGCTGATAGGTAACATGATGAGGGCCATGTATAAATATGTGAGAGGAAGTCATAGGGAGGTGGGAGCAAGCTTGTTTTTTTCTGCCTTGGAGACTAGGACGCGGAACAATGGCTTCAAACTACAGGAAATGAGATTCAATCTGACAATTGGGAAGTACTTCCTAACTCAGAGCTGTTCAGCAGTGGAACTCTCTGCCCCTGAGTATGGTGGAGGCTCCTTCTTTGGAGACTTTTAAGCAGAGGCTGGATGGGCATCTGTCGGGGGTGCTTTGAATGCGATTTTCCTGCTTCTTGGCAGAATGGGGTTGGACTAGATGACCCATGAGGTGTCTTCCAACTCTATAATTCTGTGTTGTGACATTAAAAATGGCATAATATTCCAAAACTAAGTACACTCTCTGCTCTTTTTCTCCCTCCTTTGCAGGAGGCGGAGGGAAGCGGAAAGGAAGGAGTAAGAAATGGAGAGAGATCCTCAAATTCCCGCACATCAGCCAGTGCGACGACCTTCGAAAAAGCATTGGTAAGTGGCAAAGTCAAAAGAGTTATGGGTTTTGCTCTCAGCATGTGGAGCTGGAAGCCTGGAAGTGGATGGTTGCACAAGAACTCACTGAACTTGCTTGACAGAAACGCTGTGAGTTGGTCTTGCACAACGACTAGATTTCCATGGTTTCTGGTAGCCAGGCTTATTGCTGTTACCTTACCTTGGTAAACAAGAAGAATGGCCAATTATTCCAGTTATGCCTACTTAGGCTTCATAATGAGTTTATTTTTTAAACATTATTTGTCAGTCTTTAATCCTAAACCATGGTTAGCATGCATGTGAGCATATAAACCATGGTTGCTCTGCAACTGTCAATCATGGTTAGCGTGTGACTATGCAAAATCATAGTTTAGTGCAAGAGTGGTCATTGAGGAGTTTGAAGAAACACAGTGGGTCCACACACAATATATTAAAAAAAAAAAAAGCAGGTGTGAGGCGGCAATTTTGTTGCATTTTTGGCCAGTTTGGGCTCATTTAACATAATAATAATAATAATAATAATAATAATAATAATAATAGCCATTAGAACAAATACCATCAAAGCCAGAATTGAAAAGTCGACGACAGATCCCAAATCTAGACTCTGCAAGGAAGCAGATGAAACAATAGATGACATTCCCAGCTGTTGCAAGAAGATTGCGCAGACAGACTCCAAGCATAACACCGTTGCTCAGATGATCCATTGGAACCTGTGCCACAAATACCATCTGCCTGCAACAAAGAACTGGTGGGATCACAAGCCGGAAAAAGTTAAAGAAAATGAACACGTCAAGATATGCTGGGACTTCCGGATTCAGACAGACAGAGTTTTGGATCACAATACTCCTGACCTCACGATCGTGTTAAAAAACAAAGTATGGATTTTGAGAATGCTGAGGATGCTTGCCATAGATGCAGGCGAAATGCCAGGAGAGAATGCCTCTAGACCATGGCCATATAGCCCGATATAAACCTACAACAACCCAGTGATTCCGGCCATGAAAGCCTTCGACAATACAAAGTATGGATTGTCGATGTTGCAATCCCAGGTGACAATAGGATTGAAGAGAAACAACTGGAAAAGCTGACACGATATGAGGATTTAAAGATGGTACTGCAAAGACTCTGGCACAAGCCAGTCAAGGTGGTCCCAGTGGTTATTGGCACCCTGGATGCAGTGCCTAAAGACCTTGGCCTGCACTTAAACACAATTGGTGCTGACAAAATCACCACCTGCCAGCTGCAGAAGGCCACCTTACTGGGATTTGCATACATTATTTGCCGATACATCACACAGTCCTAGACACTTGGGAAGTGTCCGACATGTGATCCAATACAACAGCCAGCAGAGTGTCTGCTGTGGACTCATCTTGTTGCGTTTCAAGCAATAATAATAATAAGAAGGAGAAGAAGGAGGAGGAGAAGAAGGAGAAGAAGAAGAAGTGATCGGCACACCTGGTGCAGTGCCTAAAGACCTTGGCCTGCACTTAAACACAATCGGCACTGACAAAATCACTACCTGCCAGCTGCAGAAGGCCACCTTACTGAGATTTGCATACATTATTTGCCGATACATCAAACAGTCCTAGACACTTGGGAAGTGTCTGACATGTGATCAAATACAACAGCCAGCAGAGTTTCTGCTGTGGACTCATATTGTTGTGTTTCAAATAATAATAATAATAATAATAATAATAATAATAATAATAATAATAATAATAATAATCGATTGGCACACTGGGTGCAGTGCCTAAAGACCTTGGCCTGCACTTAAACACAATCAGCGCTGACAAAATCACCATCTGCCAGCTGCAAAAGGCCACCTTACTGGGATCTGCACGCATTTTTCGCTGATACATCACACAGTCCTAGACACTTGGGAAGTGTCCAACGTGTGATCCAATACAACGGACAGCAGAGTGTCTGCTGTGGACTCATCTTGTGGTGTTTCAAATAATAATAATCTTTATTTATACCCTGCCACCATCTCCCCAAGTGGACTCAGGGCGGCTTACATGAGTCCAGGCCCAGCAATACAACAATGCAAATATACAACATAAAAATACAACAATAAAATATAAGAAAATAAGATAAAATACAAGAAACAGTATAAATAAATACATCAGAACAATATAAAATCACAATATTTGGACACAGAAAGTTTATCACAGTGGGCAGGGCTGGTTGCAGAGATTAAAAGTTTAAAAACACTGTGTGAGAGAGCAATGTAATGTATCTGGACAGGGGATCCAAGTAATTGTTCCTTGAGGCAGATCCTGGAATTTACGCAGTATTTTGCTGTTTCCCTCCCATCACACAGTCCTAGACACTTGGGAAGTGTCTGACGTGTGATCAACTACAGCAGCCAGCAGAATGTCTGCTGTGGATTCAGCTGAGGAGCCGGCATTGTCCAGAGACGCCTCCAAGGTTATGTGGCCAGCATGACTGAAAGGAGTGCCGTTACCTTCCCGCCGAAGTGGTACTTATTGATCTACCCACGTTTGCATGTTTTCGAACTTCTAGGTTGGCAGAAGCTGGGGCTGACAGCAGGAGCTTACCCCGCTCCCCAGATTCGAACCACCAGTCCAGCAGCTCAGCAATTTAAACCACTGCACCACTGGGGGCTCCTTCTTAACCTTATTATTAATAATTTTGTTTGTTTGTTGGAGCCCCCGGTGGCACAGTGGATTAAAGCGCTGAGCTGCTGAGCTTGTTGACCAAAAGGTCACAGGTTCGATTCCGGGGAGCAGCATGAGCTTCCGCTGTCAGCCCTAGCTTCTGCCAAGCTAGCAGTTTGAAAACAATCAAATGTGAGTAGATCAGTAGGTACCGCTCCGGTAGGGAGGTAACGGCGTTCCATGCAGTCATACTGGCCACATGACCTTGGAGGTGTCTGGGTGCAGTACCTAAAGACCTTGGCCTGCACTTAAACACAATTGGCGCTGACAAAATTACCATCTGCCAGCTGCAGAAGGCCATCTTACTGGGATCTGCGCGCATTATTCGCCAATACATCACACAGTCCTAGTCACTTGAGAAGTGTCCGACGTGTGATCCAATTCAACAGCCAGCAGAGTGTCTGCTGTGGAGTCATCTTGTTGTGTTTCTAATAATAATAATAATAATAATAATAATAATAATAATAATAATATTGTCTATGGACAACGCCGGCTCTTCGGCCTAGAAATGGAGATGAGCACCACACCGCAGAGTCAGACCTTTACCTTTATTTTCCTTAATCACATTTTTCCAAAAACCTTGCACCATCCTACATGACCACCAAACGTGGAAAAAAAAAGGTGCTTTTCTGCATCTTGCACCTCCAGCATTCCCCTCAATGAGATTTGCAGTTTGCTTTCAAACGGTGCAAGGAAAAGAACCCATTCCTCTGCAGGGTTGTGTGTTTCCAGATGGGCCGAAGGACTCGGTTTCCTCTTTGGTCTTGGAGAAGCACAGAAAGGGGACCGGGAGCAGCAGGACTGGACTGGGCTGCTCAGCGTGACCCAGCCTGTCCCATCTGCGGGAAGCAGAGGTCGGGGCTTGGAATGCATAGAGCGCAGCTGAACACAGCGTGGAGCCGGCCGCTGGAAGGAGGCAGCCCTGGGAACCATCTGCCATGGTGGCTTTATGTACGACCTACTGGCATTTTTATGGTGGGAGCAGGCGGGTATCACTTTCCTAAGAGTTCTTATGTTGTCCGCCTCCACTGTGCGCAGGGGACAAGCGGGGTGGATATCTTGAAGCCTGTGCATTCCATGAAACTCTCATTAACAGGAGTGAGACATGTTTTGAAGCCAATGCTTTCTAGCTTGTAACCTCCAAGATCAGGTCATCTTTTTTTTTTTTTCAGGATCAGAAAATTCTCATTTTCAATCACGAATCGCTAGCTCTGGACTTCAACTCATGCATGCCCCAGCTGATCATACCAATTGTCAAGAGTTTATTTGTTTATTTATTTTATTTACGATATTTATATGCCACCCTTCTCACCCCAAAGGGGACTCAGAGCAGCTTACAAGACATATATACATATAATATATTATATTATTAGCATAGTAGGTAAGGTAAAGGTTTTCTCCTGACATGAAGTCCAGTTGTGTACGACTCTGGGATGTGGTGCTCATCTATAAGCCGAAGAGCCGGCGCTGTCCATAGACACCTCCAAGGTCATGTGGCCGGCATGACTGCATGGAGCGCTGTTACCTTCCTGCCAGAGCGGTACCTATTGATCTACTCACATTTGCATGTTTTCGAACTGCTAGGTTGACAGAAGCTGGGACTGACAGCGGAAGCTCACGCCACTCCCCGGATTCAAACCTGCGACCTTTTGGTCAACAAGCTCAGCAGCTCAGTGCTTTAACCCACTGCACCACCACATAGTACAATATCAGTATTAAATATTACTATATTGTACTATACCATTATATTGTAATATTATTACAATATTTACATGTAATATAAATATATAATTATAATATCATATTGTTATTATTATTATTAGGTAAAGGTAAAGGTAGTCCCCTGACATTAAGTCCAGTCATGTCTGACTCTGGGGTGTGGTGCTCATCTCCATTTCTAAGCCGAAGAGCCAGCATTGTCCGTAGACACCTCCAAGGTCATGTGGCCGGCATGACTGCATGGAGTGCCGTTAATAATAATAATAATAATAATTATTATTATTATTATTATTATTAGTAGTAGTAGTATATTGCATATAAATATATAATTATAATATCATGTTATTATTATTATTATTATTATTATTATTATTATTATTATTAGTATATTGCATCACATTATAATATTATAAATAGGTAAAGGCAAGAAAAAGGTTTTCCCCTGACATTAAGTCCAGTCGTGAACTCTGGGGTGTGGTGCTCATCTCCATATCTAAGCCGAAGAGCCAGCGTTGTCCATAGACACCTCCAAGGTCATGACTCCATGGAGCGCTGTTATCTTCCTGCCGGAGCAGTACCTATTGATCTACTCACATTTGCATGTTTTCAAACAGCTAAGTTGGCAGAAGCTGGGACTGACAGCGGAAGCTCACGTTGCTCCCCGGATTCAAACCTGCGACCTTTCCGTCAGCAAGTTAGCAGCTCAGTGCTTTAACCCACTACGCCACCGGGGGCTCCAATACTATAAATATATGTATATACAATATATTATATTACATTATATTATATTATTATATAATTATATTATTAGCACAGTTTCTAGAAGTTAAAAGATTTCTAGCCTTTGATTTAAGAAAAAGTTAAGAGATGCTTACAATGCTTACCAGTATTAAAAAACTCTAAAATTACAACAGCACAACAACAGAGAGGAAACAAACAAGGACATCTAATCACCTCTCAACAAAAGATTGCTCCAGGCACTGTCAGGCCATTATATGCTAATCAAGATGGTCAGTTGAAACATTCACACCTAGCTCCAGCAGACAAGAGTCCTTTGTCCCACCCTGGTCATTCCACAGATATATAAACCCTTTTTCCTACTTCCAACAGACCTCACTACCTCTGAGGGTGCTTGCCATAGATGCAGGTGAAACATCAGGAGAAAATGCCTTTAGACCATGGCCATATAGCCCGAAAAACCCTACAACAACCCACTGCTTACAAATTATTTACCAACAAAGCTGTACGTCTGGCTCTTCTGTAGCCGCACTTGGTGTTTATTCGTTCCAACGCTTTAAATGCCTTGAATCAAGAAACAGCTTCCTAAGATCCACAGAGATACTTGCAGGAACACCTCAGCAAGTGAGAGTCCAAAAGTGGCAGGCTAAAACCCAGAACCTCAGTCCATGGCTGTTGTTGTTTATTCATTCAGTCGTTTCTGACTCTTCATGATCTCATGGGCCAGCCCATGCCAGAGCTCTCTGTCAGCCATGGCCACCCCCAGCTCCTTCAAGGTCAAGCCAGTCACTTCAAGGATACATCTTGCCCTTGGTGGGCCCCGCTTCCTTTTTCCTTCCATTTTTCCCAGCATAATTGTCTTCTCTAAGCTTTCCTGTTTTTTTCATGCCAATAAATATTGAACATTCATAGCAAACCATCATTTTGAGTTAGATTTGCCAATCAGTCACAAACCATGATTTGTCAATAAAGACATTGATTCCAAATCATACCTCCTTAATCTTGGTTTTGCTTGTTATGTGAATTGAACCCTTTTCTTTTATTTGTTTTCAGCACTGAATAGTTTAGCAGTTGATGATTTTCTGCTTCCTTTTGTATGAGGAGGTATGCAGACACCTCATGTACCCTCTCACCTGCCTATCCTCTTGTTACTCGGTGTTTGGAGGAAATATTTTTCACTAATTAAGCTGGGCACGAGACTACATATCACAATAATCCATAATCTACATTAACAAGTCACAACAATCCATAGTCTACATTAACTATGATTTAATCATACGGAAAAAGGGCAGACACAGAAACCTCCCTTCCAAAGTGGTACCTATTGATCTACTCATATTATTGTTTTCGAACTGCTAGGTGGGTAGAAGCTAGGGCTGACAGAAGGAGAGCACCCCAACCCACAGCTTGAACTACCAACCTTCCGGCTGGCAACATTTTCTGCATCTGTGTCACGTTGCCAGGGCTCTGCCATATTCAGGTAGAGATGAACCAAACAAACTCCCTGTTTGTATTAAACAATTTAATTAAAGCAGCGCTTACTGTTTGGCTGTTTTAATAGTCCAAAACATAAAACATAAAGATAGCACTCAGCCACAGAATATAAAACAAAAACAGCAAACACTGTTGCAGGTTCAAGATAACACCGTAGTAAAAGATCCAGTCCAGTAGTCAAACGGCGAGAGTTCAATGAGCAAAGTCCAGGGATCAAGAGTCTATACCGTAGTCAAAAGCCAGTCCAGAGATTCAAGGTTCCAGGGTTCCAAGAGTACAGGAGACAGGTCAGGATACCAAAAATCCACAAACCTGGGGGAAAACCAGCAGCGTCTACCACCAAAATAAGACAAATACTTTTCTCTAAAGTCAAAAGCCAGTCCAGAGATTCAAGATTCCAGGGTTCCAAGAGTACAGGAGACAGGTCAGGATACCAAAAATCCACAAATCTGGGGGAAAACCAGCAGCGTCTACCACCAAAATAAGACAAATACTTTTCTCTAAAGTCAAAAGCCAGTCCAGAGATTCAAGATTCCAGGGTTCCAAGAGTACAGGAGACAGGTCAGGATACCAAAAATCCACAAATCTGGGGGAAAACCAGCAGCGTCTACCACCAAAATAAGACAAATACTTTTCTCTAAAGTCAAAAGCCAGTCCAGAGATTCAAGATTCCAGGGTTCCAAGAGTACAAGAGACAGGTCAGGATACCAAAAATCCACAAACCAGGGGGAAAACCAGCAGCATCTACCACCAAGATAAAACAAATACTTTTCTCCCAAAGATCAATCTCCAGAGATTCAAGATTCCAGGGTTCCAAGAGTACAGGAGACAGGTCAGGATACCAAAAATCCACAAACCTGGGGGAAAACCAGCAGCGTCTACCACCAAAATAAGACAAATACTTTTCTCTAAAGTCAAAAGCCAGTCCAGAGATTCAAGATTCCAGGGTTCCAAGAGTACAGGAGACAGGTCAGGATACCAAAAATCCACAAACCTGGGGGAAACCAGCAGCGTCTACCACCAAAATAAGACAAATACTTTTCTCTAAAGTCAAAAGCCAGTCCAGAGATTCAAGATTCCAGGGTTCCAAGAGTACAGGAGACAGGTCAGGATACCAAAAATCCACAAACCTGGGGGAAAACCAGCAGCGTCTACCACCAAAATAAGACAAATACTTTTCTCTAAAGTCAAAAGCCAGTCCAGAGATTCAAGATTCCAGGGTTCCAAGAGTACAGGAGACAGGTCAGGATACCAAAAATCCACAAACCTGGGGGAAACCAGCAGCGTCTACCACCAAAATAAGACAAATACTTTTCTCTAAAGTCAAAAGCCAGTCCAGAGATTCAAGATTCCAGGGTTCCAAGAGTACAGGAGACAGGTCAGGATACCAAAAATCCACAAACCTGGGGGAAACCAGCAGCGTCTACCACCAAAATAAGACAAATACTTTTCTCTAAAGTCAAAAGCCAGTCCAGAGATTCAAGATTCCAGGGTTCCAAGAAGTAGAGGAGACAGGTCAGGATACCAAAAATCCACAAACCTGGGGGGAAACCAGCAGCATCTACCACCAAAATAAGACAAATACTTTTCTCCCAAAGATCAGTCCCAAAGCTAGCTCATTATATCCAGAAACACCCAGATACAATCTCTTGCATACCTCTACCCTTAATGCTTTCACCCATGAACTCTTACTTACAGATTACTCAACCCTTTAGAACTAAGATTTACATTAACCCTTCCATCACCAACTGCTAGGCCTACCACCATCAACCACAATCAACTGCACAAACATAGAATCATAGAGTTGGAAGAGACCTCATGGGCCATCCAGTCCAACCCCCTGCCTAGAAGCAGGAATATTGCATTCAAATCACCCCTGACAGATGGCCATCCAGCCTCTGTTTAAAAGCTTTCAAAGAAGGAGCCTCCACCACACTCCGGGGCAGAGAGTTCCACTGCTGAACGGCTCTCACAGTCAGGAAGTTCTTCCTCATGTTCAGATGGAATCTCCTCTCTTGTAGTTTGAAGCCATTGTTCCGCGTCCTAGTCTCCAAGGAAGCAGAAACAAGCTTGCTCCCTCCTCCCTGTGGCTTCCTCTCACATATTTATACATGGCTATCATATCTCCTCTCAGCCTTCTCTTCTTCAGGCTAAACATGCCCAGCTCCTTAAGCGCTCCTCATAGGGCTTGTTCTCCAGACCCTTGATCATTTTAGTCGCCCTCCTCTGGACACATTCCAGCTTGTCAATATCTCTCTTGAATTGTGGTGCCCAGAATTGGACACAATATTCCAGGTGTGGTCTAACCAAAGCGGAACAGAGCATGGGGAGCATGACTTCCCTAGATCTAGACACTAGGCTCCTATTGATGCAGGCCAAAATCCCATTGGCTTTTTTTGCCGCCACATCACATTGTTGGCTCATGTTTAACTTGTTGTCCACGAGGACTCCAAGATCTTTTTCACACGTACTGCTCTCAAGCCAGGCCTCCCCCATTCTGTATCTTTGCATTTCGTTTTTCCTGCCAAAGTGGAGTATCTTGCATTTGTCACTGTTGAACTTCATTGACAAATGCAAGGTACTCCACTTTGACAGGAAAAACGAAATGCAAAGATACAGAATGATACATGACAAGCTGGAGGTTTAACACACTGTGCTATGGCGACACCTTTTCTTGTTCCCTTTGTGGAGTGTGCCCAAAGAGGTCCCCGCTGCATTATATCTGCCTGTTTGTGAAAATATCCTTTTTTCCATTTTTTCCTCCGCAGAACGGGACTACAACAGCCTCTGCGACAAGCAGCCCATTGGCCGACTGCTCTTCCGTCAGTTCTGCGAGACCCGGCTAGAACTCCTGCGGTGCATCCACTTCCTGGACGCTGTGGTAAGGCGAGTCCAAAGCCTGACTCGGAGAAATATTTGTAATTCAGAGCTGGACTCTGTGAGCACTTTTGATAGACTGCGGTCAGCCTCTGCTATTAAAGATCAAACAGATTCAAAGTTTGGTGGTAGAGCAAATGCTTTACGTTCAGTAGTTCTGGAGTCATCAAGTCAAAGGAAGAAATATGACCAAATATTAGGTGATGGAAGGACCTTTCTCAGTCCAAATTTGGGTAGCTTCTGCCAACCCAAGTGGAGCAAACTGTGCTAAGCCACCTGCCCTGGGGTTTTATTTGTCGTGTCAGGACAACCAGTCAAATAATATTACATTTCGAACAGAACAAAGCCAACAAACAGACAAAATACAACATTTGTGAGTTTGGTAGTTGATTAAATGTCCTTTGACCAGTATCTGGCCACTTGGAGTGCCTCTGGTGTTGCTGCAAGAAGGTCCTCCATGGTGCATGTGGCAGGGCTCAGGTTGCATTGCAGCAGGTGGTCAGTGGTTTGCTCTTCTCCGCACTCGCATGTCGAGGATTCCACTTGGTAGCCCCATTTCCGAAGGTTGGCTCTGCATCTCGTGGTGCCAGAGCACAGTCTGTTCAGCGCCTTCCAAGTTGCCCAGTCCTCTGTGTGCCCAGGGGGGAGTCTCTCATTTCGAATCAGTTCTGGGTTTGAGCCTGCCACTTTTGGACTCTCGCTTGCTGAGGTGTTCCAGCGAGTTTCTCTGTAGATCTTAGAAAACTATTTCTAGATTTAAGTCGTTGACATGCTGACTGATACCCAAAAAAGGGATGAGCTGTAGATGTCTCTGCCTTGGTCCTTTCACTATTGGCTGCTATTTCCCGGCGGATGTCAGGTGGTTCAATACCGGCTAAGCAGTGTAATTTCTCCAGTGGTGTAGGGTGCAGACACCCCGTGATAATGCGGCATGTCTCATTCAGAGCCAGATCCACTGTTTTAGTGTGGTGAGATGTGTTCCACACTGGGCATGCATACTCAGCAGCAGAGTAGCACAGCGCAAGGGCAGATGTCTTCACTGTATCTGGTTGTGATCCCCAGGCTGTGCCAGTCAGCTTTCGTATGATATTGTTTCTAGCACCCACTTTTTGCTTGATGTTCAGGCAGTGCTTCTTGTAGGTCAGAGCACGGTCCAAAGTGACTCCCAGGTATTTGGGTGCGCTGCAATGCTCCAGTGGGATTCCTTCCCAGGTGATCTTCAGAGCTCAGGATGCGTGTCTGTTCTTGAGATGAAAAGCACATGTATGTGTTTTAGATGGGTTAGGGATCAGCTGGTTTTCCCTGTAATAGGCAGTAAGAGCCCCTAGAGCTTCTGTTCTACCGTCTCAAAGCTCCCTGCTTGAGCAGTAATGGCATGATCATCAGCATAGATGAAACTCTCTGTCCCTTCTGGCAGTGGCTGGTCATTTGTGTAGATGTTGAACATGGATGGAGCAATCCCTGGGGTGAAACAGGCTATTTATATAAACACAACTAGAGCTTGGGAATAATACATTGCAAGAATTTTGCTCACCATAATCTATATAAATAAAAATGTAATATTCGTTTGTGGGATTAACAGAACTCAAAAACCACTGGACGAATTGACACCAAATTTGGACACAAGACACCTAACAACCCAATGTATGCCCTTCACTAAAAAAAAAAACAACGAAAACAAAGCAGAAAGGACTTCTAAACTGCATGTCCACAAAGGAGAAACTGCATGTCCACAAAAAGACCCATTGCCACGCCTCCTCCTGGTGGGGAAACAGCCGGCCATTAAAGCCAGGTGCTCATGCATGGCCGCGCGCACACACACACACACACACACACACACACAAGCGAAAGTGGAGTGGGGTGGAGGCTTGCCGCATGGAGCCCCTTCTCTTTCCCTGCTATGTCAGTAGGGTGGTCTCCTCCTACTCCTCCTTTCCCTGTTGGAAGAGGAAGGGGTGGATGAGTGGCAGCGGCAGCAGTGGAGCCCCCAGGTAAGGAAGAAGGGAAGGAGGAGGAGGAGGAGGAGAGGAAGGTTGACGGTATTTGAGTGAAGGACCTTCCTTCTCTCCCTCACTTTCCTCCCTTCTTTCCTCCCTTTCTTTCCTTTTCTTCCTTCCTTCCTTTCCCTTCCTTTCCTTCTTTCCCTCCTTCCCTTCCTTCCTGTCCCTCCTTCCTTCTTCCTTTCCTTCTTTTCCTTCCTTCCTACCTTTCCTCCTTCTTTCCCCTTCCTTCCTTCCTTCCTTCCTTCCTTCCTTCCTTCCTTCCTTCTTTCTTTCTTTCTTCTCCTTCTTTCCCTTCCTTCCTCTCCTTCCTTTTCCTTCCTTCCTTCCTTCCTTCCTTCCTTCCTTCCTTCCTTCCTCCCTCCCTTCCTTCCTTCCTTCCTTCCTTCCTTCTTTCTTTCCTTTCTTTCTATGTAAGATATAAATACAATATTAAATGGAAGGGACAGTCAAGAAGTAACGAGAGAAGGAGAAAAAGAGGGAAGGAAAGGAGGAAGGAGGGAAGGAAGGAAGGAAGGAAGAGGAAGGAAGGAAGGAAGGAGGAGGAGGGAGGTAAGGGAGGGAGGGAAAGAGGAAGGAAGAAGAAGAGAAGAAGGAAGGAAAGGAAGGAAAGAGAAGGAACAAAAGAGGGGAAGAGAAGGAAGAAAGATAGGGAAGGAAGGAAGGAGAGAAGGAGGGAGGGAAAGAAGGAAAGAAAGTTAGAGAAGCAAGGAAGAAGAGAAGGAAATAAAAAGTGAAAGGAAAAAGAGAGGGAAGGAAGGAGAGAAGGAACAAAAGATGGGGAAGGAAGGAAGGAAGGAAGGAAGGAAGGAAGGAAGGAAGGAAGGGGAAAGAAAGAAAGGTAGAGAAGCAAGGAAGGAGAGAAGGAAATAAAAAGTGAAAGGAAAAAGAGAGGGAAGGAAGGAGAGAAGGAACAAAAGATGGGGAAGGAAGGAAGGAAGGAAGGAAGGAAGGAAGGAGAGAAGGAGGGAAAGAAGGAAGGAAAGAAAGAAAGGTAGAGAAGCAAGGAAGGAGAGAAGGAAATAAAAAGTGAAAGGAAAAAGAGAGGGAAGGAAGGAGAGAAGGAACGAAAGATGGGGAAGGAAGGAAGGAAGGAAGGAAAGAAGTAAAGAAAGTTAGAGAAGCAAGGAAGGAGAGAAGGAAATAAAAAGTGAAAGGAAAAAGAGAGGGAAGGAAAGAGAGAAGGAACAAAAGATAGGGAAGGAAGGAAGGATGTAACCAAGGAAGGAAGGAAGGAAGGAAGGAAGGAAGGAACCAAAGAGCAAAGAAAGGGAGGAATGAAACAGGTAGAGATGGAAGAAAGACGAGAAATAGGGAAAGATAAAGAGGAACGGAAGGAAAGAGGGAAGGAAGGAGAGAAAGAGGGATGGAAGGTTGGCCACAGCAATTTGTGGCGGGTACAGCTAGTTTGCAAATAAATTTGTTAAAAATCAGACAATGTGATGTTCTGGATGTGTTTTCTCATGTTGTCTCTCATAGTTGAGGTCTACCTAGGATGTCAATTCCAGGCCTCTCTCATCTTTTTTAGTGGGAGAACTTGTACAGTTGGTATCTGACTAAATACTCCCCCCCCCCCCCCCCCCCCGCTGTATTTGTATTTCATTCTTCTCAGTTTGCCCCCGCTTGTTGTTATGATTGACTTCCTGATTTGCTCATTCTAAAAACCCAAATTCCTAAAGAGCAACCACTGGGAGGGCAGCGTGTGTTTCTCAGCCCATTCCATCCAGATGACGTGGAATTTAAAAGTCAGCCCTTCATCTGAAATAATATCCTAGTGTTTTTGTGAGCCGCGTTCCCCTGGCTCTGCCCCCCGCCCGCTTCTCCCCTTCCAAAAGTTTGCTGATTCTGGAAGCATCGGACATCCAGCCGCATGAGCCGTTTCTCCAGGTCATGTCAACCCATTTTAATCGTAAAGGAAATCCTCCTCCTTCCTTTCCCCCTCTTTTTCTTCTTCTTGTTACATGCTAATCCTGTATTTCTGATCTGGAATCCTTTTCCTCGGCCCTTTTCCGATGCCAGAAGGCAGTTTTTTGGTTCTGTTTAAGAGGGAACATAAGCCTCATAAAATGATCTGTGTTTCCCATTACCAAGCTGTTTATGCAACTGACGATTTCGCTCTCTTTCCGGACTAAGCAAAGCTTGGTAAACCCAGTTAAGTTTAGGTCAGCCTGCAATGGGTGGGTGGGGTGGCCGGACGACCAACCCACCCAGCAAATTTTGAACTAGCGCCCAAAAAAATTCGGTCTTTTTTCTTCTTATTATTTGCTTAAGCTTGTTGAACATGAATGACAGGAATGCCGATCTGGTCGGATGGCTGCTAAATGGGAAACACATGGTCCGAAAGTGATACTCTGCAAGGCTGTGACAATCCAAACTCATGAAAAGCATGGTTGAAATAAGAAGACTTTTACAGCTACGATGTGTATAATAACTTCCTTTTAAATGGCCGTCTGGGCAGGGGGTCAAACAAACCCACCACTGCCCCACCAATTATAATAACTAGGCAGATGGCAATATGATCAATCCCACCATCTGACCCCAATTATAAAGGTAGGCTTTATGGCCAAACAATATGACTGGACAGGGGGCAAACAGATCCCACAAACTGTCCTTCCTTTAATAAGGAATTCACACCACTTTGGCCCCTAGATAAAACTTGAGGGGATGTCTCTTCATTTAAACCTTCACTGCCACCATAAAGATAAATGAACAGGAACCCTCTAGCTATTTAAGATGTTAAAAAGGTTGTTTAAAACACCACCAAGTACTGTCTTTTAAAAGGCTTCTTTGAAGGGAAACAGGTGTGGTTGAATTAAAAAGAAAAGGGACTAAATCCACAAATGGCACTTGACTCAGGCTTAAGTTTCAAAAATAACAAGGAAAGTTTATTGAAGTAAAAGTTACAGAATGAAGTGAATGCAGGTTCATGAGCTTGGCTGTTACAATTAAAGTGTTCTTGTTCTTAAAAACGTAACGGTTGCATGAGAGAATGGTTCTTTCTTTA